AGGAAGTGTTTAAGAACTAGAGGAAGGTTGTGGGTTTCATTATTGCTATACTGAACCCTAAATGACTCATCTCCTCCCCACTACCCCTCTGCATTGGATCCCCATCACGCGTCACCCTCATTCACGCTGATATGATCCCCCACTCCCACCCCCTTTGGTGTTTGAAGCCTGGTCCTTTTGTCCCTTCATGATCACACATGTTGGTGTGCTGCTTCCATGTGGGCTTTGTTGCTTCTGGGCTAGATAGCTGGATTGCCTCTTAATGACAACTTATGAATGTCAAGTCCTCATATCTGGAGCAATAAGCAAAATAATGATAAAAGGAGAAAAGTGTGACGTTGTCAAGGATTTCATTTCCACAGTCAGCACTCATGGAGGCAGCACTCAAGAAATCAAATAAAATCTGCTGCAAAAGAACTCATGGAAATGTTAAAAGAGCTATGATGTCGCTTTGAGGACTCAGGTGCACTGGAGGTAAGCCATGGTATTTTCCATCACCTCATATGCATATGAAAGCTGGACAGTGAACAAGGGAGCTGGAAGAAGAATTTGTGTATACCAGTTACGGTGCTGTGAGCTTGCTGACAGTACTGAGAGAAAGGCATCCAGAATGCCTGGGAAGCAAAGATGGTAAAATTTCATCTCATGTACTTTAGAGATGCTCTCATGACAGACCAAGCCCTAGAGGACATTGTGGGGGGAGGTCAGATGTGCAGGCATTCCCTCCCCTGAAGGCAATCAGTTGCCAGACTGCTGTCTCATCCCACCACAGGGGTGGGCCTGCTCCCTGCCTCTGGGGACAATGGACAGGCTCCTGTAGGAGGAGTTTTCACCCTACTGATAATAGTTCCTATGGAGACCCAGAGACCAACCCCTAGACCACCCACTCATTGCTGTGTAGCCTATAGTGCAGCTCCTCCTCTCTACCTGTAATTAGTGGGCTGGCTTGCCCCCAAAAGGTATATAGGCGTGAGTCAGCAATATAGAGCTTTCTGACCTCTCTGACTCTCTGACCTCCTTGCTGCTCACTCCCTGGTCACTCCTCTCTCTTCCCCCTCTCCCTTGTTCCCTTGCCCTCCTTCCCTTCCCCCTCTCTCCACGTGGACCACCAAGCTGGGCTGAGGAGAGCAATGCTACCATGTAATATGTCTGACTGAAGGACATTGGGCCTCCACTCAAGTACTCCCTCAACACAAGAATACTTTCTTCTAGTAAATTGGCATTCTATGATGCTCACCTTCCCGA